CCCCCCAATTCTAAGAAATTTAAAACACTCCTTAAAGGTATTTTTAGGATTTCAAAGTCTAACTTATTCTATACACTTTCATTCAAGTGAAAAGAAAACACAGACTAAGGTTAGAGAAGAGGATTGGACGCTATATTGTTAAGATACATGTACAAGTGTCATCTTTCTAATTCAATTATCTTTCAAAATATTTTAAAGGAATCATAAATAGTGCATAAATAACCCTCAACCATTCATTGAACAATGTGAATGAATGGCCGACATAATTTACACCAAGCTCACTGAATAGAAATCCTATTAAAAAAAAAAAAAAAATTCTGCTTCTCAAGTTAGAAGCTTAAAAAAGCCTCCTGAATAACTAGCTTTCTTTTTATGAAAATTTCTTAATTAAAAACCGAGCTGACAAACTAAAACTACCAAACAAAGAAATGATAACTTGTAAAATTATTTTGCCCTCAGAGATACAGGGTCACCTTGCTAATATATAATTATTTTAGCATTTTATTTCATTTACTTTATAATATGAACTGTGTAATCAAAATCTCAGATGACAATTTTTCTTTCATCTATCTACTTTCTTTTCCCTCCCACTGACATATTTTCCTTTATTAGTTTATTGTACTTTGCATAGAATCTGTATGTGGCTTCAAATCACTGGTAACTGTTTGTCTACATAGTTGAAGTAGATTAAAAGCAAGCCATCAATCACATAATAACTGTACAAATATACTTCATTTCTCCGAGTTGCATAAAGGTTATTTTTTCTATTTAAGAACTGAAAAAATTATAAAAGTCACAAAAGGATTTAATATTTATCAAATAAAATCTATATCAGCTGAAGTCAAAAAGTATTTCATTCTTAGTAATACTAGTTTCATTCTTAGTAATACTAATTGTCAAGGGTTAAATAATATATAAATAATATATCAATGACAAATACAAAAATTTAATCTGATTATTCTTCAAGTTAGAGTTTTTAGAATTAATACAATTTAAGAATTTAGATTTAGCTATTAACAATGATTTCTTCAAATTTTCTATTCATTATCTAAATCTCACTGGTAACTATTTCATATTTGTTTAAATATATTTTGGGTAGTCTGAATATCAAAGAACAGATCAAAAAGATAGAATGTTTTTTTTTTTTAAAGACATTATTATTATGTTGGTAATGCACATTGACAGTCAATATAAATTCTGTTCTTAAGCCATGGTATCAACAAGACTACTAACAACTCAAAAACTTTTCAAAGAATCCTCACAGAGCAAATGAGTTTTCTCAAAGTTTACAACCTTAGTCTCAATTTTCCCGAAGCACTTCTTCAATTTTCTAGATGGTGTTCCAAGCGCACACATTACTACAAGAATTAGTTCTACATTCAAGTTCCATCACTTTTCCAGCTCTCTAGCCAGATCCTGGTATTTTTCTATTATATTAAATTTCTTTCGAACCCACTCCCGTATAACATGAAACAGCAAAATCAATAATAAATACATAAATAAACAAACTGAAGAATTTATTAAATTAATTTTCAACATGGTTTATAAATACCATTTTTTTCTGAGATTAGTGTTCATATGCACAAAATTCAAATTTTCAAAGTCATGGTACAAATGATTCACTGTAAATTGGCTATGTGTTTGAATAAATGAAGCAATTGTAAACCCCTTTTAACACTGAGTTTGTAAATAATAAAGAATATTTAGAAATTAAAATCTATTACAGTAAAAAGCCAAAAAAAAAAAAAAAATTCTAGAAGTTTACGAATTCATCCATTTTAGTTAGACTGTAATTCTGGAAATTCTGGAGCAGACAGAATTTCACTTCATCACCTTTACTGTATAGAATAACAAAAAAAAAAAAAAAACCTTAGTTAAATGCAACAAATCATTGAGATCTAACTGCTTTTTAATTGCAATATTATGAGGAATGTTTTTCTTTCTTTCCTCAGTCCATATGAAACATCAAAATCATAACTTTAATATTGAAATGTACATTTATTTATTTTCTGATGAAAACTTCATTTTAAGCACTGATCACAAACTTTTTAAACCAGGGAATACCAGGTCACCTTTCTACAACTGCATGCGTGAATTTCTGGAATATTCAATAAATAGACAAGTTGCCAAGATTGACTCAGGGTTTGATCTAAAGTAAAATATTTTAAAATCAAGTGAGAAGAAAAATATTTCATCATTTTAATATCCTGTATGCATTTCTGTTGCTGAACTTTTTTTTTCCATTGTGAAGCTGAGCTGTCAAAATATGCATTTATCATTCTGAATTCTGTAGTTCAACCAACATCTATATACTGGTTAAGTATTGACATGTTTCAAAGGATACAAATATAGATATATAAAAGTTAACATATATATATATATATATATATATATATATATATATATATATATATACAGAGGTGTGTGTGGTAAATATAGAAGACAATTTGGAAAATTTTTCATTTGAAGTTTCACCAATGAAATGGCATCATGAGAAAAAGAATTTTATTTCACAAGAACAAAATTTACATTATTGTGAAATAACTTTTTTCTGATGGCACTGGTACATTGGTAAAACATGTCTTATATATTTACAATCCCATTGAATTCTCATCCTGCTTTACTCAAACACACACACAAAAAAAAACAAACAAAAAAAAAAAAACACACACATATAAACAACAAAAATGCATAAACTTAGAAACATCCCATTCAGTTATGCTAACATCATTGCTGTTAATATTTTTATGACATCAATAAAAAGAACTTACATTGGCTAAATAAAAATTCCAATGATAGAGATATTTGTTAAGAAATAAATCTGAGACAGCAAACCTGTTACATTAAATCTACCTTGTTAATTAATGGTGTCAATTAAAAGCTAGAAAGTGTTTGCAGAGGTTAAATCCTTATATTGATTATAAATTAATATTATATCAATCATTTTTTTATTCATTTTAACAAGGAATTTATTAAAGATTTAGATCATAAATGCAATAAGTATTTACTTTTAAAGTTGTTTTTAACATTTTCTTGTAAATATGAACTTTTAAAACATTTATCATTATTCTTAAGTTTAAACTGAATTAAAATGTAAAAAAAGATTTACTTTAAAAGGGACCAAATTAGGTAATATATATATATATATATATATGGTGCCTTCATGTAACTAATGTCTTACAATTAGGTGGGAGGTATTTCTGGTGCACCCTCTGTGTGTGTGTGTGTGTGTGTATGTATGTATGAGGAATCATTGTTGGGGTCTATTTTTTAACCAATATATTAAATAAAAGATTCTACAGAAACACATTTTTAACTTTTTTTTTTATCAGTTCACTGACTTTTAATGAATTTAAGCCAGAAACTGAATCAATAAGGAGATAATTAAAAAGAAGATTTAATAGCTAATTATTTAACTTGCTTTTCACATCCAGTTAAGAGCTTTAATGCATGAAATGATTATGTATTATACAGGAGTTTATACTGGGACTTTTATAAGTTATATATAGTTCTTTAGAGACCAACAGTAATGCTGTCTGAAATTCAATTAATATAGAAATACAACATAATGACATTTATAAAAGAAAATACAACAGACCAGTATAATCCTGTTACAACATAGACAAGTTTGTGTATACAAATGTGGTACAATACAATATTGTACCAGAGAATACAAGTTATACACCACTATGTTGGAGAGGCAACTTAAAATAAGATATACTTTTTATGCAGTTATGCATAGTTCAATATTCTTGCATTATAAAACATATCAGAACAGCATTGCAGACAAGTCATTTATGTACATTAACAGAAGTTGTAGGAGAATAAGTTAATATTTTATAAGATATATATTTCTACAGATGAAGTGTATCAAAATAACAAAAAAAGCTATGTTAAGTTATACAACTGATATTACTGAATGAACAGTTACATTATACTGTACTAGCGTAGTAACATTACACATATTTATATGCATAAAATATCTTAGTAAACATACTAAAAATAGGATAGTACCATTACAAGCCAATTAATTATAGCTACACATTGATAAATAACTATTACAACCACAATACATTATTTATCAAGTCACTGATAATAAAATAAGCTAATAGAAACAAAAACTATTCTATATAATTAGACAACATATCATTACACGTTATATTAATATATTAACAATAACAAAATCTTGCTATTTTATAAATTGTAATAACAGAATAAAATTTAATACAAACTAGTATGATATGTTAATAATAACAATTTATTTACGTTTTTTTATCCTGTGTAGTACAATTAGACATCGATGCTGAGAGAGAAAGAGAGTGTGTATTGATAATACGCACACATTACAAAACGTAAGCTCACAGCAGACAGCAATGACATAACAAGACACCTACCGTTTGTAACAGTAATTCCTACCAATAAAGAAGGACGCCAGGTACTTCCCCCAAATGGACAACATAAGATTACGAATACTGAACCTGTCCATTATTTGCTGGCCAGAGAGTAGGCACAATTATTAACAGAGTGGCTGATGGATGTACACAGGCATTGTCCCAGACTGCACAAGGAAGAAAGAAAGAAAGAAAGGAAGGAAGGAAGGAAGGTCGACTGTCTAAGCTAGTTATTGAACAGAGAGCAAAGAGTACTGCTCCTATCCTCCTTAACACCACCACCATTACTACACTCCCCCAACTTGTGGTCATCATCATCATCATAACAACTGTTGTAGTTATCCTCATTAGAGCAATTTTAGTCAACATCAATGGAGCAGTCAACTTGACCAACGGTAATATTAATACTCACACTACTACTCAACCAACTTTAATTCACAGAGCAACCATTTTATCTTTTCTATCTATCTCTACAGATAATAATACAAAAAAAAAAAAAAAAAAAAAAAAAAAAAAACATGAAAGGTGCTATACCAAATCTATCTATCACAGCAAAATAAAGAAATATCTCACTTAATTTCAAAGTGGCAACCCAATCACAACACATACACTCAAACTGTATCCTGAGGATGGAGAAAAAGTAGCAGTCAAGAAAAGTTGCATAGATAAAGAAAGAATTGAGGGAAGAAATGGAGGCTGTTTATGTAGGAGACAAAAACTAGTTAAGTACATAAAAAGAAATGCTATTGTACTAATATAGAATTCATCAGATTGTTGCAGGGTGAGCCAAGTGGGCCGATGAAAGGAAGGTGGGGGTGAGAAGAATGGAAAGTCAATGATGCAATCCATAAATAGAGATGAAGAGAGTAAAAAAGATGAAAACAATGACAGAGAGTGTGAAGATGATGAGAAAAGATGGGGTAAAATAATGTCAGAAGTGATAATGAGCAAGTTATGGGGATTTTTTTTTTAATAAAATCCCAAAAAGGCAGGTACAAGACTGGGAAATCCAAAAGCAAAAAAAAAAGTTCACTTGGTTCAATCACTGATTATCAACAGATGATATGAAGCAAATGACACAAAGATTTGAGCTGTTGCTCTTATCAATATGTCAGACTGCCCTTACAAATTAGGGGTCAGGGTTTTAAAATACTTATTTATTTAACTATAATTTTTACAAGAAATAGATATGACAGGAAAGCGTTTAGCATAAGGTTTTATTTAAAATTCAATATGGGCACTAGATTTCATTACCAGCTTCTTGAGCCACCCAGGAATCATATCAACTGATTTTGCCAGGAACTCTTGTGGTATGGAAGACATAACTTCTTGTATTTGTTCTTCAAGTTCTTCTAAAGTCTTTAGTATAATAGACTTGCTCCTTTAACCAATCCAAAGAAAAAGTCACAAGGATGTTAAGTTAGGACTCCTGGCTGGCTACTCATACATAAAAAAGTGGGTTACTTTTCAATCACCCTGTATTTCATTTTTTTAAAACCAATATTGATGTGTTATTATAGTAGCAAGTATTGTTTCTTTCAAGACCAAATACAGTAAACAGACTTATTTAGTGGCGTCTTACAAATCAATGAACCACATAAAAGGATTTATTTTTAATTCAGACTTAAATAATGAAACTGATACACACACAAAATTGGAAGACAACTGTCAACAATTCATGAACAAAGCCTTTTTTGTTGTTTTTATTTATTATGCATCCTTAAGAAAGGATAGTAGCTTTAAAAAAGAAAAAAAAAAAGATTAACTGTAGACTGTATAAAGAGAAACAAGGAAACATTTAAAAAACAAAAATGGTAATGACAATGGAAGAATCAAAATATATTAGGCACTTGAACAATTCAAGAAAAGGCTGAAAGCTAACTTTTCATGTGAATTCTTCTCCACATGCAGTGAATAAGAAACAATGTGTTTGCCTTTGTAAAGCAACAATTATTAACAGGTGGAGGCTTTGCAGTTTCTATTACGACCCAAAAGCAAAAATATCGAAGAAAAAGAGGATTGTAAATGTGAAGTTAAAATTGAGCAACTCCATAAGATTAAAAAAATAATGATATTAAAATGAAGTTAAAATAAGAGAAGATAATAATGAAAGAACAAGTAAAGCTCTTTAATGAGAAAAAGATGCAGATAAGAGTTTTTTTGTTTGTGTTTTTTTTTTTTTTACTAGTGCTATGGGTTAAGATATACAGATGAGAAGAGCAAATTATCTCTCCTTGGTTTTACTAATTCATCAAAAGGTTGAGAGGCTGATGGTAGGGCACTCATGAATGATGTGATTCGTGGTTGAATAATGAAGCATTGAAACTTGAAAAGACAAGGTCACAAAAGGAAGGCAGTGGCACTTAGGAAAAGAAAAAAAAAAAGAAAGGAAGAAGAATGTCTCAGCCCTTAGAGACTAATCAGAAGTCACTGGCTGGCAAAGTTCAAGGGAGCAGCAAAAAAAAAAAAAAAAAAAAAACCTAAAGAGCTAGTACACCACTCATGATAAATGGCAGCAGCAGCTTCATTTGGATTAAGACAAAAAGAGAAAGAAAAGGCAATCCAAGATGAAAGGAAAAATATATAAAGAGAGAACAAATGCACGGAGAGAGAGAGAGAACAAATGCGGAGAGAGAGAACAAATGAGGAGAGAGAGAGAGAACAAATGCACGAGAGAAATGCGGAGAGAGAGAGAGAGAGAGAACAAATGCGGAGAGAGAGAGAACAAATGCTGCAGAGAGAGAGAGAGAGAACAAATGCGGAGAGAGAGAGAGAGAGACAAATGCGAGAGAGAGAGAGAGAGAGACAAATGTACTAGAGGAGAGAGAGAGAGAAACAAATGGAGAGAGAGAGAGAGAGAGAGAACAATGCACACAGAGAGAGAGAGAGAGAAAGAGAGACAAATGCACAGAGAGAGAGAGAGAGAACAAATGCAAATGCACTTGAGAGAGAGAGAACAAATGCACGGAGAGAGAGAGAATAAATGCAGGAGAGAGAGAGAGAGAGAGAGAACAAATGCATGAGGAGAGAGAGAGAGAACAAAGAGAACAAATGCACGGAGAGAGAGAGAGAAATGCACGGAGAGAGAGAGAGAGAGAGAACAAATGTACGGAGAGAGAGAGAGAGAGAGAATGCAAACAAATGGAGGAGAGAGAGAGAGAGAATAAAATGCGGGAGAGAGAGAATAAAAATACCGAGAGAGAGAGAGAGAGAACAAATGCACGAGAGAGAGAGAACAAATGCGAGAGAGAGAGAGAAATAAAAAATGGAGAGAGAGAACGAAAGAGAAGAGAGAATGCGGGAGAGAGAGAGAGAGAGAGAGAACAAATGTAACGGAGAGAGAGAGAGAGAGAGAACAAATGCAGAGAGAGAGAGAGAGAAATGCGGAGAGAGAGAACAAATGCGGAGAGAGAGAGAGAACAAATGCGAGAGAACAAAGAGAGAGAGAGAGAGAGAGAGAGAACAAATGCACGGAGAGAGAGAGAGAGAGAGAGAACAAATGCAGAGAGAGAGAGAAATGAGAGAGAGAGAGAGAGAGAGAGAGAGACAAATGCGGAGAGAGAGAGAGAGAGAGAGAGAATAAAATGCACGGAGAGAGAGAGAGAGACAAATGCACGGAGAGAGAGAGAGAGAGAGAGAGAATGAGAGAGAGAGAGAGAGAGAGAGAACAAATGCATGGAGAAAGAGAGAGAGAGAAAACAAATGCACGGGAGAGAGAGAGAGAGAGAGAGAGAGAGAGAAAGAGAGAGAGAGAATAAATAAATGGAGAGAGAGAGAGAGAGAGAGAGAGAACAAATGCACGGAGAGAGAGAGAGAGAGAGAACGAATAAATGCAATGGAGAGAGAGAGAGAGAGAGAGAGAGAATAAAGAGAGAGAGAGAGAGAACAAATGCACACAGAGAGAGAGAGAGAGAGAGAGAGAGAGAAGAGAGAGAGAAGAATGCACACAGAGAGAGAGAGAGAGAACAAATGAGGAGAGAGAGAACAAAATGCACGGAGAGAGAGAGAACAAATGCACGGAGAGAGAGAGAACAGAATGGAGAGAGAGAATAAATGCACGGAGAGAGAGAGAGAGAGAGAGAGAAATGCACGGAGAGAGAGAGAGAGAGAACAATGTAGGAGAGAGAACAAAATGCACGGGAGAGAGAGAGAGAGAGAACAACAAATGGAGAGAGAGAGAGAGAGAGAGAGAGAACAATGCATGGAGAGAGAGAGAGAGAGAGAACAAATGCATTGAGAGAGAGAGAGAGAGAGAACAAATGCAAAAGAGAGAACAAAATGCACGGGAGAGAGAGAGAGAGAGAAGAAGAGAATGCACGGAGAGAGAGAGAGAGAGAGAGAGAAAGAGAACAAAAGCACGGAGAGAGAGAGAGAGAGAGAACGAATAAATGCACGGAGAGAGAGAGAGAGAAACAAATGTAATGGAGAGAGAGAGAGAGAGAGAGAAGAAAATGCACGGGAGAGAGAGAGAGAGAGAAATAAATGCATGAGAGAGAGAGAGAGAGAGAAATGCACGGAGAGAGAGAGAGAGAGAGAAGAAATGCACGGAGAGAGAGAGAGAGAAATAAAATGCACGGAGAGAGAGAGAGAGAGAGAGAGAACAAATGCACGGAGAGAGAGAGAGAGAACAATGCAATGAGAGAGAGAGAGAAATAAAGAGAGAGAGAGAGAGAGAGAAGAACAAATGCACGGAGAGAGAGAGAGAGAGAGAACAAAGAGAGAGAGAGAGAGAGAGAGAACAAATGCACGGAGAGAGAGAGAGAGAGAGAGAGAGAAGAGAGAGAGAGAGAGAGAGAACAAATGAGGAGAGAGAGAGAGAGAGAAATAAATGCACGGAGAGAGAGAGAGAGAGAGAAGAGAGAGAGAGAGAGAGAGAGAGAGAACAGAGAGAGAAGAATGAGGAGAGAGAGAGAGAGAACAAATGCACGGAGAGAGAGAGAGAGAGAAACAAATGCATGGAGAAAGAGAGAGAGAACAACAAATGAGACGGAGAGAGAGAGAGAGAGAAATAAATGCACGGGAGAGAGAGAGAGAGAGAGAGAACAAAATGCACGGAGAGAGAGAGAGAGAGAGAGAGAGAGAATGCATGAGAGAGAGAGAGAGAGAAACAAATGCACAGAGAGAGAGAGAGAACAAATGCAGAGAGAGAGAGAAAGAGCACAAAGAGAGAGAGAGAGAGAGAGAGAGAGAGAAATAAATGCAGAGAGAGAGAGAGAGAGAATAAATGGGAGAGAGAGAGAGAAAGAGGAGAGAGAGAGAACAAATGCACGGAGAGAGAGATTGAGAGAGAGAGAACAATGCAATGGAGAGAGAGAGAGAGAGAGAGAGAGAGAATAAATGGACGGAGAGAGAGAGAGAGAACAACAAAATGTAGAGGGAGAGAGAGAGAGAGAGAGAGAACAATGCATGGAGAGAGAGAGAGAGAGAAGAAATGTAAACAAGAGAGAGAGAGAGAGAGAGAGAACAAATGCACGGGAGAGAGAGAGAGAGAGAGAGAGAGAGAATAAATGCACGGAGAGAGAGAGAACAATGAGAGAGAGAGAGAGAGAGAGAGAAGAGAGAGAACAAATGCAGAGGAGAGAGAGAGAGAAAATAAATGGCACGAGAGAGAGAGAGAGAGAAATAAATGGAGAGAGAGAGAGAGAGAGAGAGAAACAAATGCACGGAGAGAGAGAGAGAGAGAGAGAGAACAATGCAATGGAGAGAGAGAGAGAGAGAGAGAGAACAAATGCACGGAGAGAGAGAGAGAGAGAGAGAGAACAAATGCACAGAGAGAGAGAGAGAGAGAGAGAACAAATGCACGGAGAGAGAGAGAGAGAGAGAGAGAACAAAAGCACAGAGAGAGAGAG